CCGGGGGCGGTGGGAGAGCCAGCACGTGAGCGCCGGGGTCCGCGCTGTCCCCCTCCGTGACGAGTGGCCGATAGGACAGCCGATAGGTTGTAGGTGGGGCGGGGCGAGGCGAGGCGGTGTCCAGCATTAATTACGTAACCCCGCGAGGGCGCGCGGCCCCGCCGCCGCGCCGGGCAACGGCGGGGGCGGGGACCGTGCGCCGCACGGCCCGGGTAGGCAGCGCCCCCGCACTCGCGCCCACCGGGTGGCCTACCCTGCGTCCTGTGGGCGGGGGGCGGGACCCATCTGCCGCACGGCCCGGGTAGGCAGCGCGCCCGCACCCGCGCCCATCGGGTGGCCTACCCTGCGTCCCGCGGGCGGCGCGGCGCTGCTGGGATAGGGCAGGAGGAGCGATGCGGAGGAAGCCCGGTGATTTGTGAACGTAAATAATTGCGAAAAGAAACGTTGGGTTGTCGGGGAAGAGAGCGTGCAAGAGTGAGGAAATTGCCACCACAGCAGAGCAGTAGCCGCTTTCCCCTCCCGCCCCGCCCCCTCTATTTGTCTCACGTTCCACGCCCGGAGCCCCGAAGTGGTGCGGTGTGGAGTTGGGTGGCCTGAGATATTTCCTAACAGGGGTCCGTAACTTAACGCATTAGCGTTATGCGTTAGTTATATAAATTAACGAGTAACGCATTAGTGTTATGCGTTAGTCATATAACGTAACGTCTAACAATTTGCAATAAAAGTTAAAGTTATGGGTCGTCAAAAATTATTCTGATGCTAGTTGGAGCTTGTTCCGGCATTTTGAGTCTAACTCTTAACGTTTCATGGTATGGTCACAAGTGATGAGTTATAACTCTTAACGTTTCATTGTATGGTCACAAGTTATAAGTTATAACTTTAACGGATAACGTACCGCTAAAGGGGAGTTTCATGTTAAGTTACGGACCCCTGTTTCCTAATGGGTCACCTGGGAATCGTGTTACCGTCGATTGCGAACGGGGAGGGGTGAAGAGGGGTTAGGGGGCGGGGGGCAACAGAACAGGGAGCGCGCGAACATTCTCTTGAAGAGCAGGCAGAGCAGAGCTGGGCCGGGGCGCGAGGGGCGGCTAAGTGGTACCACAGGGAGTGTGCGGGAGGGGGGCGGGACGCTCCCACCACGCTGTCGACTGTCGACGGGAAGCCCCACTAGGGGGCGGCGACTGCGACATGCTCCGCTCTTGTCTCCGAGAAACCCGCGGGCGCGGTTTTATAGGCCGCGAAGGGATGATGGTGATGCCTGGCTGAAGGTAGCCAACGGGCTGTGCAAACCCACAAAACCTACGTGGCCCCCCTCAAAGAAATCCGTGACCGTCGTGACGGATGAGGCCTAAGGACGTGTAATTAGCCCTGGTCGTCACAGCTGGTCACAGCTGGTCACAGCTGGTCACAGCTGGTCACAGGAGCCCCGTGGGCGGTGCGGGCTGGCACGACACCGAGTAGAAGGGGAGAGCGGGGGCGGTGATCGGCGTGCCCCCGGGCACCCGCCGGCAGCGGCGCACGCCCGTGCAACAGGCCGGGAACGGGTGCGGGCCCGCCGACCGGTCCGGGACCCGCAGGACGGGCGCGCTCTCCAGCGGCAGCTCGGGCACGATGGGCAGGCGGTCGCGGCACACGTCCAGCGGGTACTGGCCCTGCAGCACGTTGGGCGCCACGAGCACCTGCTTGCCGCGCAGCAGCTGGCTGTGCAGGATGTTGTTGTTGGTCTGGATCTTGGAGGAGAAGAGCCGGCAGACGGCGCGCCGGCTCGTCTCGCGGTGCGAGTCGCAGGGCTGGTGGAAGTGGGCGCGGTGCGTGGTCACGGGCTTGGCGCGCAGGGCGGCCCGCTCCGCGGCCCAGCGCGCCGCTGTCAGCTCCTTCAGCCCGTACTGGGTGAGGTTGCCCTGCACAGAGAAGGTGTAGGCCCGGGCGTCACGGGCGTTCCACCGCAGTAAAAGGACTTTTACTCCGTGGAGCGGTCGCGAGCTGCGCTAACCAGGCAAGGAAGAAGGTCCTGGGAGGGGAGCCACTCCAGGTGCCTGGAGTTGAAGGCCCTGGCCGTGGCACAGGCCTGCGGCATCCAGTGGTGCATCAAGTCCGTGGTGGTCGTAAAGTTCTCGCGGCACTTTGGGCCGCTCGCCTCGAGCAGTATGGCGCGGTGAAGACCCTGCGGCAAAGGGGGGGCACTAGTCATATCATATTTATGGCTGGCTCAAGATGTCGTTGGTGTATACGGTACGGACGGATCGCGCTGCGACTTTGTTCAAAAAAGGAAATAACGCCGTAGTTCCCTTACGCCATGACAAGCCGCATGAGGAGAACGTTCGCGTTTCGCCCTCGTATGCGTACCTCGGCGCCCGCGCGGTTGTCCCATGCGGCCTGCGAGGCATAGTCGTCCAGGAAAGCCTCGCGTGGCGGCTCCTTGAAGGAGGTCGTGTAGATGGAGCAGCCCCTGAAGGGCGGCGCGCACGCCTTCGTCTTCTCGATGCGCCGATCGCGCCACATGCCCTCGAGGACGCCATCGTTGTACCGCGGTTCCGTCACCACCAAGTCCCTCGTCTCCTCCCTGTGGAAGAGGGGTGGCAATGGGAAGTAGGGGCGGGGGGGGGGGGCAGCGCGGTGGCGCCTCCGTAACAAGGGGGTGCGCTGCCTCCTACTTGACGGGGATGACGGGCACGAAGTCCTGGAAGCTGGACTTGGTGGAGACCGCACTCGGTGGGGGCCGCGCCATTGTGCGCCCCTCCTCTAGAGGTCTAGAGCCTGCGCGGGCGGTGGGGGTGACTCGTCAGCGCCATGCCCCCGTCGTGCTCATCGGCTGCTCGACGGCCACCTCCCGTCCTGGACCAGGCCATGCGGGCCGTGCCTTCCCCATACCCCCAGCCCTCCCACACCCGCAATAATGGGAGCCCAACAATCAATTACTCGCTTCTACTAGCGCTACAGGCGAAAGCCGCGCGTCCAGCTTAAGAAATGCTGTTTTGGAGCCTTTTCTAGCACTGTTGCTAGATGTTGGGATAAGTTGGGATAAGTATGGTTTCTCAAAGTGAATTGAATCATTGTGATTTTAGGACATTGACAAAATTTATCAACAGTTGTTCACAGAACAAAATTAATGTGTAATGATTTTACATATTAAACAATGGTTGCAACAGATTTTAACAAACACACCAACCAACCAAGGCAACATATATTCATCGCTTTCTTTCGAACTTCCATCGATAGATGGGTGGAGCGTCTTTAGTTGCTGGCTTTATTCTTTCTGGCTCTGCTTCTTTCTTGTTTGCTAGGTGCTTCTTTAGAATCATTTTTTCTTGGATAACACGTAGGTGCTTTTCTCGGTCTAGGCGCTTGTCTAATTCAGCATATTTTTGCTGCTTCTGTTTGGCAGCCTTCTCCAATGCAGCTGTAGAGTAAATTGCATTAATGAAGGAGGTTACTAGGCAAAGGTGATAACAGACACATAAAGCAAGATCAAACAAACCTTTATCAACCACTGGAAGCACAGCAGTTTTTAAAGTATCAAGTTTCATTCGGTTACAACGTCTACCTAAGAGGGCAGGGTGAGTATCTAATCTAGCTGCGATATCAAAGTTTAAAGCTTCTTTAGGATCATCCACAAAAAACGTATGATGATTTGGAACCTAGAACAGACAGAAAGAAAATTGTATACATAATCATAACCAAACTGAGAGTAATTCCACAAAATAATTTAGATTTTACCTCTTGAGCAGCGTCTAGCAAATGGAGCTCAGACTGAAGTCTGGCAATTTTCCGTTTTTCAGTAGTTTGCTTCATAGTGATATACCGCAGATCTTGAGTTTGCATAAGCTTGATCTGCTCGGGTGTGTGCTCATCCTAATAAAATACAGGCATATCTTTAAAAATTCCCTCTGTACATATTATAAGAAAGATTCAAAAAAAGGTGCACAAAACATTACCTCTTTCTCAATTTCATGATGTTCTCCATCCTCTGTGCGAGAATTGATCATATGAAAATAAAACTCATCTGGGTTGCGACTCAGAGCTCTCTTGCGGAGAAGACGCAGAGTAGCCTGTTTTTCATGAAAATCATTGGCACGAGTCTTGTAATCTTTTTTCTTCTCAAGCAGGCCCAGATGTTCACGTGCTTCTGGTTGATGTCTCTCCCTGTGAGTCTTTTGGTTTGTTTTTGCTGCTTTCTTCCATGAAGACATTTTGACAGATGGGATCTGCAACAATAATACAAAACAAAATTAAAGTCAAGATAAAACAGCTTAACATCTCGTTGTGTCAACCTAGTCAATTTGATGTCATCCAAAACAAAGTGATTGACATGTACATACAGAAAAAGTGAAAATTAATGCAAATTCGGACGCTTAGGTAGGAAGTCCAAATCGTTTTCACTGAATCAGTTCTAACGTTGCTCGCACAAATAGTCAGAGGTTAGAAGATTTTGTTGCCAGCAGCGTGGTTCCCCCACCCCTCCTTAGATTTGTTTATATTTTTTGGGATGAAAATATTGTACAGCGCACCATGCCGACCATTTGTCTATTGGTGCAGTTTAAGGTACCTGCCCCACCTATTTCGCTCTATTGACGTCGACTAAAAGAATATGATATCTATGAAAGACCAAAATTATTCAAGAAGAAAAGTTAAATACACAGTTAAGACCATTGTTTGTTTTCTTTCGCACTCGTGAATTTCTCATATATGTGATGACTCCCTCTTTCCAAGTTCTGTAACCTTCGAAAGGAAAAATATTCAAAGCAAAGGTGAATATAAGGCTCATTGGACTCAGAAAGCATCACTGATATATTTCAATACTTAATTAAAATGTCTTTGGTTCTTTTGAGTGATTTTTTTGCGTTATAAATCATGACGGATTCATATGCCAACCAGACTACTTCATTCATAAACTAGTGGCCACTTGCCGTCGATGAATCAGTAATCAGTTGGTCCTTAACCTGTAGGGGACGAAATTCCGTTGTCAAGAACAAGAACCATGGTAAGTCTTTGTGGCTATTTTTGACGTCTAAATGTGTGTTTCCGCTTGCTTATTTGAGTTTTTAACTTTTTAAGTCACTAACATTGTCTATCTTCGCAGGCTTCTTTCACGGAGGACCAGCTGGCTGGTAAGTTAATCGAGGTCAGCTTTGACGTTCCAGCTCCCCCTGATGACACACCCCGAGCCGACTTTGCCTTATTTGGTCAAGAACTGTACGGTATGGAGGGAGAACGGATTTTACTCTCGCTCTGCTCCTGGCAAGCAAGGCACACACGGTTTTGTTGCAGTGCTGAATACTCTCGTAGCAGTTGTGTCTTCAAATACTCTTAGGCTTTGTCCAATTTGTGGGTGTGTCAGAGCACAATAGCCTGCCAACATGTATGCTTATGAGGCAGTTAATAAAGTAATGACGTCTGTGGAAGGTTTGTGATCAATTAGCATTGTCAAAGTTGTGTCGTCTGAGAGCCCTGTCATGACCATCTGCATTGCTCTCTGTGCTTCACTAAGATATGTGGGGAATGTGGCCCTTGCCTTTTTCTATTCTTATACATTCACAATGTACTGTCATAGAAATTTGTCTTAGTTTCTCACTAGATTTTTTTTTCCAGAGTTCCAAGAAGCATTTCAACTCTTTGACAGCCGTGGGGATGGCAAGATCAATGTTGGTCAGATAGGAGATGTCTTACGGGCTCTTGGTCAGAATCCCACAGAGTCTGATGTGAAAAAATTTACTCACCAGCACAAACCTGGTTGGTATTAGCTTACTGTTAAGATGAATATTTGTCTCTTAAATTTAAAAATAAAAATGACAATATTTATTATCTTTGTTGACAGATGAGCGAATCTGCTTTGAAGTTTTCCTTCCAATTTATCAGGCTATTTCGAAGAGCCGCACATCAGACACAGCTGATGACTTCATTGAAGGTTTGAGGCACTTTGACAAGGATGGCAGTGGATTTATCTCATCTGCTGAACTTCGTCATTTGTTGTCAACTCTTGGTGAGAAACTCACTGATGATGAAGTTGAACAACTCCTAGCTGGTCAAGAGGACTCTCAAGGAAATATTAATTATGAAGAGTTTGTGCGTATGGTCATGTGTGGGTAAAGATCTAATGTTTCAGATAACCTATCTATGCTGAATTCTAATTTGGGTAAAGAAATAAAGTATACTGTTATATATTTCATAAGTAAGTGAAGGTTTTAATAACCTCCAGAAATTATAAATTCCCTGGGTTTTCTTGTACTTATTGCATTTGATGTTTGAAAAATATGGTCTACAGTTACCACATTTGGAAGTATTATATATATTTTTATTCCGTGTTTGTGATGTTTTCAAGTGGCATTGAATGAATGATCCAGTTCAGTATGCATTTTAATATTTTGTAATTTTGTCAAGTGTTTTGTGCAATGTAGAATGGTTCAGTATCCATTTAAACAAACAAAATCTATGCTACGGTTTGGATTGATCTAATCATTTTTATAGTATGGTTGCATTTTGTAGGTAATTTGCTTGTAGGCTTGTTGTGGGTAACCCCTTCCATTCAATTAGTGTATATTTTTTTATTAACTTACATTACCTTGGGTTTCCATTCCATTCTAATATTATATCTCCTATTGAGCTCCATTTATTATCATTTGCTGATTAAAGTTTGTATACAATTTGATTTTAACTCTTATCCTGTTCTTAATTTCATAACCTTCCACTTATTGCAGTGTTTCTTTCTTGGGGTTTGGGAAGAAACAAAGAAAAGAACTCTATTATTCTTAAGCTGGTTATTGCTTTAATCATCAAGGACCAGCCCATAAAAATTGATTACAAATCTTAACATTTAAATCACAATACACTTATGATACATGCATTTCATAACATGTTCCCAAAAGCCAGAGATAAAAGGGACTGGGACTGAATAGTACGTAATAAGTTGATATCCAACTTGTTCTCATTGAGATCAGGATATACATTCACACTTACAATAAGATTACACACAAATTATATGCAAATATTTCCCTTTGCATAACATGGATAACTACCAATACAAATGTGTTGTATTGGGGAATGAATAGTATGGAGAGTCACACATAGCTCTAGCGATTACATACAGTCATAGGCATAAAACATATAACAGAAATCTGCTCAGTTACATTATAAAAACATTACAATATGGCATTTTTAACAAAGCATCAGCATAATTAATATATGATCACAGGTTCCTCTGGCACATTCAAAGGCATTCTTCACACTTTTGTTTTTGTATAACACAGGAATCTCCAACAGATTAGTCAAAATTATCTGAATAAAGCAACATAAAAATCAAAGATCAACAAGAGAAACCCTAAGCATCTTGAGACAACTGAACACATCAGTCAGCAAGAAATTCATAGACAGAGTTTCACCTCAGAGAATGGGTAACTAGATCCAACAGTACAAGTACATGTGTATGAAACTTGATTATAAGAACCACCTTTCAATAAGTAGAGGAGAAATGTTAAGGACAAAAAATACTGCAAACAACTGGTATAAAATAGGGCCCAACTTTTGGGTTGGATAGACAAGAACATAGATAATTATGTTTACATACCCAGATACCAAGCCATATAATTCTATGACAGTCTTAATTCTCATATAAGAGATACAATTGCCATGCTAAGTAGAGCCCCACATGATAGACCCACACCAAGAAAAGCTGACATGATCATTGCAGCCATCTCTTGTTCATGATGCTCACATGCCCTGTAATAGAGAATATCATAATATAAGTACATACAGGATTAAACAGTGGAGAAGTCTTCAAGATTGATTCATTTTACATCGGTCCAACCAAAGCACTTACTTAGGTGCACTCATCATGGTGATATTTACTAGATAACCATTTGTGAAACCAAAGAGGACTACAATTAAGATGTAGATTGCATCTTCATGAATCAAGACGGGTAAATGTTGCCTTGGTTGAGCATTACAATACAGCAGCAAAGGAACAAAGATTACTCGTGCAGCTGACATGAGAAGCAGCGCACGAGCATTCTGCTTTGGCTGCAAATTTACAAAAGAGAATAGATTTAAAAAATACAAATTTGATATTGGTTTGGTGGTTTAAGTGTACGACATCTTACCAAAAGGAGCCATCCAGCTAATACTCGTCCAAGATAATCAAATATGCTAAATATCAAGTATGCAACTACTGGCACAAAGTATTTGTCTGTAAAAGAAACAAATATTCACAATAAGTTTCAAACCATTAGAGTAGCTCAAGGGTTGGTGACAATAAATCAAGAGTGCTAGAGGTTGTACTACTTAAACATACCATTCCATATATTCCCATGCCCTTTGTTCTTAGATTCTACAAGAACAGTTATTGCTGGGTAGAATGAAAGAGAAACAAGGAAAGCCATCCAAACTGCTAGACCGTAGATCCATACCTGGAGACCATTTAAGTAAAATTAAAAGCATGCTAAAAATGGAATATATAGGGCTAAAATATGAGTGAAAGTACAGACCTTACTCAATACTCTTTTGTAAGACAGGGAATTAAGATTTATTTCCTCTGAGGGTAAACACCCTGGTTCATACTGTACTGACAGTTGAGGTTTAGGCTCCATGTGATATTTGAAGAAAACCTATGGGGGAAAAAAGTGTTTTGAATAAGGGCAAAGGCCTATGACTTAATTCAAAAGACTATTTTTTTCTAATGCCCTTGCTTACCGCTCGAATGAGAACCAAATAACACACAATAGATAAAACAAGGAAAACATTTGCAACCATGAAATAAACAAATGCGCTCAGTTGTGGTGAAGCACCCAGCCATAGGGAGAGAATTTCTGCAAGGGCTGCAAAAACGCCTCCTAGGGATTGTCCACTACTTGCAGCAGAAATGTATGCAGTTGAAAATTTTCCCAGCATGCCAAACAATCCTCCAGTCAGGACAGCACTTGCCACTGAGAAGAAAATGTGGAGATAACAGTAAAGACAGTTTTGATAATTTTAAGATACTGTATGAATGTAATGCACTTACTGTTCAGAACAATGACTATTGCCATGGTGACATAAAAAAAATCATATTGATCTGTAAAGAAAACAGACAATCAAATAGAGGGCATTTACGAGTATTGAATACTTGGATATTAATAAAGGGATCAAGAGGAAAGTTCAAAGAGTAGGGTATACCACACACATGCCTACGCTGGATTGCATGCAACAATTAAAAACAAAATTCCTCACATGCGTCAGTGTCGACATGGACGAAAACAGTTGTGATGACAAATAAACACAATATAACTACAAATGACCCCAGCATGCGTGAGTGAATAGAAATCCTGCCAACAAATTAGATTCATAATTTAAGTTTGAATTGTAATCACAGAAAAACATTTGTTTTGTTATAGCCTAAAGCTATCTGTGGAAAACATACTTGTGGGCAAAAGCAGAGTTCAAAATCAAAAATATAGTGCTTGGAACATTTGAAGCTACGCTGAGATATGCTGTGAAGCTCTTTTGAAGAGGAGTACGACTGATTACGTCTGACGAATTTCCAAGCATAGTGACTGTTACAGATGAGTTAACATCACGAAATTTGTACATCCAATACTGGAATACAATGAAAGACAGGGTTAAATTTTGAAGTGAAATAATTAAATAACTTATTACTGAAGATGTAACTCACATCATCAGCAGTGATGAAAAAATTCCATGGTAGAAGTGTGGTCATTCCCAGAAAGTAAAATATGATGTATGCAATACTATATCTGTAACAGAAATATTTATCACATCAGAAATAGAGCGTACTAAAGGAAGTAGTTCGTTCAAAAAAAAGGTTTCTTGACAAAGTTTATTGCTACAACTTATTAGACACCTACAACTAGGTACCAATAAAAATATCAAACAAAAAATACAAACAATAAGCTACGAAACATCATGCTTGACCCCAGTCTGCAGTGATCAATCAAAAAGATGTTAATTTGATGAAAATGTGAATGTGACCCTTAATTTGATTGTCAATTTTTTTTGTCAAATTGACATCTATTTGATTTATGATTGCAGACTAAGAACAATTAACTTACAAAATACATGTGTAAGTTAATTCTGTTAATGCACCACCAATGACATAAATTTGATGGAAAATTTAAAAAAGGTAATGTATTTTTAAATATTGAAGCCATTCAACAGAGACAAAAAACACAGCCTATAATTTACTATAGGAAATTATGACCTTACATGAAAATCTACTAATTGACTTGAAAAGCACTTACTTGTTGTAAGCATCAGTGCACAAAACTTCAGATGTTACCCCTCCCCTTTTATTCTCTATTTCAAACATCAAAATTTGATTTACTCTCACCAAAATAATTTAAAGTTTCCAATCTTTACCTAGCACCTTCTAGCACTCTTCAAAGTTACCATTACATTCCTTGGTCCAGCCAAAAAAAGTTAAATCTGTAATAATGAAAACACACCATGCCTGCCATACACAACGTTTTTGTGCACTTTTTGTGGGCAACCTTGTAACCCAACTGATAACCAGATGATAGATATAGCCCTATATTTTTCAAAAATAATATTTCTTGTTTGATATCTTTCCTACCTGTCCTGTGGATCCCTTTGCTTGAACAATGGCTTTGTGTCTTTTGTTACGACAATTGGGTCATCAACTTCATATGATGGGGGAGAAATTCCTAGATCATCGTCGTCAAAATCACTTTCAGTTTCACACTGCAGAAGCGGCTGAGTATTTATGTGGTCATCCATCTTTTGGCAATGTCTGAAAAATAAAAAGACAAGTTGTAAAGGACGCTATTGCTTAAACATAAAAAGATGGCTGTTAGGGGAGTGGCATTATAGACCAAGAAAATGATTGGAATTTTGTATAAAGGAAAATGAAACAAAGAAGCAGAATTTCACATGGGAAAGTTTGATATTTTTTAAAGTTAATATTGGTCTGAAACCCTTACCTTAACTTGTTAAGCAGAAGATGAAGTCTCTCCTTGTCTTTGTTACCAGGTCTAACGCCATGCACGGTGTGATCCCGCTTTTCATTGGGGTGGAATGCTGTGATTCACAAAGCAGATGGCCTTGAATACGATATTTGCATACTGTTTACTTCCGAGATTACCACATCCAGTTGCAAAGGATTTATGATTCGTCTTTGCCCTTGTCCTACAAGACTCTAGGGATGAATGAAAAAGAAACGTTACTTGGATCAGACAAATGTTCTCTCACAAAACATGAGCGGCAGAAATCTCGAATAAGGTATCAACGTACCTTTATTGAAATACTCAACCCATCTGTCTGCTGCGGGGGTTCGTATATGTGTCCAGCTTGAATCTTGCTTGCATTATTTTTCGTTATTGACGCACCTGCCCCCTTAACCCTTCCCCCCTCCCCCTCGCCCCCAAC